AAGTTTCCTATATTTCTCACACTCAAGAGAACACTATAATCCTATTTATAACTTGTTTCTCTCATCCTCGTTCCTCGCAAATAACCATGCTCCCTATGGTCAGCAATGGGTACGAACAGGCTGTTTCAGCTATCTGAACAGTCTTGTTGATGGATGCCTTCCTTTATCTATAGTTGAATTTATAAATTTCAAAGAGCTGGAACCACACAATTCACATGACACTAAAACACAGAACATTGGAAGCCATTTACTAGTGCAGACCCTCAGGAGCATAATACTAGGGTCAGGCTTATGAAATGCAATTATCCCTTGGCAGTACGATAACTATGGAAGGGATAGCAGATCCAGGTACATTTACACTGAAACTGGAAGTTACTGCTTTAAAAATACTATAAAAAATATTAATCACTTGTCTTTTCTTGAAAGTAGTAGCAAAAAAAAAAAAAGAGAAGAAAGAAAGAAAGAAAAGAAAGAAAGAAAGAAAGAAAGAAAGAAAGAAAGAAAGAAAGAAAGAAAGAAAGAAAGAAAGGAAGAGAGGCCAGATAAATGAATGCCTACTTTAACCGTGGCTGGAATTTTCACTATTTCTCACAAAATTAGGAAGTTGTTGAAAATCTTTTTCCCAAATGAATTCTAAAATGCATTAGATGTAAATTAAATCCTCTAATCAGAAAACTATTTGACCATTTGCCACCAAAAGAATCTCTCTTGCTGTTTGCTTTAATCTTAAGCATATTCTTCCCAATTCGTAGGCTAATGTAGTGTTTTGTATTTGGATTTTAGACCTTGATAGTAAAGCAATGATTTTAATCTTTTATTCTGCAGCTACATAACAAAAATTGAATGATGGTTTGGCTATATTATTTATCTGACACTTATGAAGTCATTTGAAAAGAACTGCCAAATGAACAAGTAAACATGGGTATTAGGGGTCTTTTTTTTTCAACTCCCGATTAGTGATTTTTCATATTGCCTCCTATTTCTACTCCTTTATTACACTAATATAACCAACAAGCTGACTGCGTTTTCAGCAATTCCTATAAATAATCATTTCAACCAAACAAGAAAATGTCACTTAAAGTTTCTGTCCATCAGTTTTCACTCTGACATGCAAAAATTTAAAGTAACAACAAATAATGGGCTTATTTGGTCCACTCAAAGTGTGAAAGCAAAACTGAGTTACAGGTGATTTAGCACTGAAATACCATTTAAGAGCTGAATCTAAGCATCTCCTACTGCTGTGGAAAAAAGAAAACTGAACTAGGTGATCTAAAAAGCAATAGGACCCAGTTAATTGTGAATGTTTGGGAGTCAAAAGATTCTATAAGGCTCTCTCCAGTATAGTAACGACTAGTCACAAGTAGCAGTTTAACATAATTAAAAGTAAATAATTTCAAATGCAGTTCCTCAGTCCCCACTAGCCACATTCCAACGCCCAGCAGCTTCATGTGCCATATTGGATAGCACAGATACAGAACCATTTCCATCACCGAAGAAAATTCTATTATGCCATTGGTAGCTATGTGATCTTATGCAAGTTATTTAATTTCTATGAAACTCAATGCTTTTGTCTATAAAATGTCCATAACATCATCTAAAGGGAAAGACTTATTAGAAGTTTAATGAGATAGCACTTAAAGCACAACACACAGTGCTTAGTACACATTAGATATCCAAGAAAGAGTAGCTATTATTACAATCCTATCTTGGGCTTTAATATGGTAACCCTGAGCAAGTCACTTCCCCTTCCCTGGCCCTCATTTTCCTAAAACTGAAAACTTTGGGGAAGTTCTTCCGGTTAACTTCTAAGGATGCTATCAAATTCCACCAGGTTAAATGAAGTGTTAAGCAAAAGGGGCCAAAACTCCTACTGAGGAAACTACTACCTAGGTTTCCTAGAGCTTCCTAACTGATCCCAAGCATTCTTCCCAAAACCCCAGAAGACTGGCTCTGCAATATAGCCACGGTCTGGTGTGAGCTATTTATAAAGTCTGTCTTAAAAGGTTACCGGAATATCTTTCTGAAATTGTATATACTGTAATTAGAAGCTACAACCCCCTATTCCATGATGATATCTTGCCGTTTTAACGTCTCTTTTAAATGAACACTATCTTTACAGATGAATTTTTTTCTCTTAAAAGCATTTAAACCAAAACACTTTTTCAAAGCACATACAAGTTTAAGTACAAGTTTTAATAACTTTTTAAAACCAGCTATGCCTCATGCATAGCCAGCTTGTGGGTGACCCTCGTGTCTAAACAAAGTGGGAATTACAACAGCCCCATGGGTGAAGTCCTCTTGCAGGGACAGAAACATGCCCACAGCTTTTACCCTTACTAACAGCTGCTCCCAGGGAGCCAGGAAATTCACCGAATACTAGGTCCACAGAGCCAGCTTCCAAAGAGGGGGAAACCACGGACCCCCACGCAAGGCACAAAACCAGGGTCGCAGGCCGCTATGGCTGCAGACCTCTTCCCCCCGCGTTGTCCGTCCTGAGCTTAAAAGTGACGGGCATCTCAGGCAGCAGACATCAGAACCGAGGCGGTGTATTTTTGCCCAAGGCTGGAGGCCTCAAAAATAAGTGTTATTCCAGAGCAGATTCCTTTTCTTCCGGGTCTGTCTGCTCCCTCTGACTCTCTGCCCATAACCACCACCGTGCCTCCCCACCTTTCTCCACACTTTAAAAACAGAGAAAAAGAAGGGGGGGGGGGGGAGTGGCTTATTCCCTCTCCTCTAGCTTTCCCTAGCAGGGCCTGGAAACTGGGGAAATTGGGATCAAATTAACTGCACATTAAAAAATAAACAGACAAGCCATCGGGGGATGCCCACCCAACAAAAGACGGCTCCCGTTCCAAAAAAAAAAAAAAAAAAAAAGTGCTTGAGCCTGGGTGGAAGAAGGGGAGGGAGGCGAGAAACCAACAAGGATGGAGAGATAGATGTGTGGATTTAGGGCCCCAGGGCCGGCCCATCCTGGCCAAGGTCCAAGTTTTGTTTCAAGAAAATGCTGGGCTGAAGAGAAAAGAAAGAGTTGTAACTTTTAAGGAAGTCCGCAAAAGGCACCGGCCGGGATAAAAACGCCGCTGCTCGCCCCCGTCGGGGATGGCAGGGCAGGCGACTCCAAAGCCCCAGCTCCAGCTGCACGCACTGGAGGAGAGCGTCCCGGCCTCAGGCCCGGCAGGGGGCTCTATCCCCAGACTCCTCGGAACACGGGACCGGGGGGCTCTGGGATTTCGACCGGGGACTCGGGACCCTTCACTTTATTATAAAATTAGAGAGAAACCGCTCAGGAGACTTTATACCCACTCCCCAAGGAGAAAGACAAAAATGTTATATGGGGACTGGGGTGAATAAAGAGAAAAATATAAAAGTCCTCAAAAAGAAAAAGCCCCCACCACGAAAAAAAAAGATAGGG